GCGAAAGGAGGCAGAGCTGAGGGTGAAGGCAATTGTCGCGCACGTTCACATCACATCACGCATCAATTTGCTTATCTTGTGTGCATGTTGCGTTGCGGGTTGTGAATGACATGGCATTCATGTTTCTCGCGCTTTATGAACTGTTGACGCACCACCAGGTTGATCCGTGGGACAACACAACCGCAGTTCCGCCGTCAGATGGTCTCAACGTCTGGCCCGCACTCACCAAGGAGCAGCCATCCCCAAGGTATGAAACGAGAGTGTGTATATATGTCGGGAGGGGGGCGGACAGTGTGTGAGGATCACAAGGATGGGTGGAGTGCAACAAACACAACAGAGAGGTTTGTTCACACACACACACACACACACACACACACACACACATCAGGACGGAGATTGTGCTGTGCGAGAAGGCCATATTGTCTGGGCGGTACAAGCTGGTGAACGAGTACAGGTACGACGGCTACTCAGGCCCAGCGTACCCAGAGACGCCCATCACACCGGTGAGCAGTGGTTAGGCGGAGAGAGAGGGGGGTGGAGAAGAGAGGTGAAGCAGGACAAGGGCGAAGGAGGGCAAGGGTGGAGGTTGTGGTTGACTCAGGGCGTTTGAATTGAGGGTTTGGGTGCTCAAGAATACTGTCGTGAGGGCTGCACAGCATGGTTCACTACACACACGCACACACACATACACACACATACACACACACACGTTTGCTTGTGCATTGTATTGTTGCCTGCAGGCACCGCCGTGCCCGAAAGATGGCTGCTTGTTCGACATTGAGCGCGATCCAAGGGAGACAACGGACTTGTCGGACACATACCCGCAGATTAAGAAGGACCTCCTCGCGAAGTTGCAGGTGCGGCAGGACTGGTGGTGGAGGGACGTGTGGTGTCATTCATGTCTGTGCGTGCGTGCGTGTGTGCGTGCGTGCGTGCGTGCGTGCGTGCGTGCGTGCGTGCGTGCGTGCGTCCGTACAACGTACCACGCAGTCTAAACATCCCCTCCCTCACTGACGCATATATCGCACGCACACGGATGCTGCTTGCATAGAACGCGTCGGCCACATTCTTCCAAACTGGCGACGATGGATACAAGGGAAAGTTCACAGACTGCAAGCCGTTTCATGAAATCCTCAACATGACAGACGGGTATGGTGCCCCGCTGTGTTATGAACCAAAGCATCACCCCAACAATATCAAGGGGAAGTAAACGAGATGAATGACGAGACGTGGAAGGCATGCATGGAACCAAAACGTTCAGCTAGCAAAGGCACACAGGGGCAACAGCCCAAGAAGCCAACAAGCATGTTGCTTTGGCCAACGATTCCGTGCATTTTCGCCAAACTCAAAATCCAAACAAGCGAAGAAGCAGAAGCAAGACGAAGAGGAAGGAGGAAGGATACGAGACACGACCAACCAACCAACATGCCGTTGAAGCTCTACATCAGCTCCATCTCGAGCAACCTCGAGGTGCGTTGTGATGTGATGTGATGTGATGTGATGTGTGTGTGTGTGTGTGTGTGTGTGTGTGTGTGTGTGTGTGTGTGTGCGTGTTTGTTAGTGTGTGGTTGTTAGTGTGTGTGTGCGTGTGTTTCAAACAGGCTGACATGGTGTGTGCGGTTGCTGAATCCACCATCATCATCCCCACACCCATCCCCACCTCCATCCACCCGTGCATCTCCACACCCATCTTCCCTTCCTCACGAACTCACTCACTCGATGCTCACCATGGCCACAGACCAAGAAGCACATCCAGAAGATGCAGATGACTCTTGATGGCAAGCACATCCCGTATGAAACCATCGATGTCGGTGCGTGAACAAGTGCGTGTGTGTGCGTGCGTGTGTGTGTGTGCGTGTGTCTGCGTGCGTGTGCGTGCGTGTGTGTGCGTGTGTGCGCAGTTTCAAGAACATACGCGCGCTCACCCATTTGCGCACACGACCTTGCCTGCACTGCTGTGTTGAAATGCGCGTGTGCTCTGCGTGCCCGTCTGTACGTCAACGTTCCCCACCACGCACATACGTCCTCCCTCGCCCTCTCCTCACATGCTCACAACCCACTATCCTCACAGCAAGACAACAAGGGGCCCTGAAGCAGATGCGAGAGCTCATGGGCGACGACAAGGCGCTCGTGCCACAGATTTTCAAGGATGACAAGCACCTGGGGGTGAGTTTTACGCATGCCCATGTTGTGTGGTCCTTTGCTTGAGAGAGTCGCACAACCTTACGCTTGCTTGCCTGCCCGCTTGCCTGCCCGCTTGCCACCACAGCCCATGCTTGCTTATTGCCCCTCACCAGTCAACCCCGTTTTTCTTTCCCTTCCAAACCCTGCGACACACACACACACACACACACACACACACACACTCTCTCTCTCTCTCTGTCTCTCCAACAGGGCTTTGACGAGTTTATGCAAGCCATCGAAGATGAACAACTGTCGGAGTTCCTCGGGCTCTGAGCTCATGCCTCCCTCACCTCCATAGACACACACGCAGACACACGAACACACGGTGGCATTGACCCACTTGCGTGCATTTATTTCTTCTTTGATTCCTTCATGGCACGGTGTAAACGCACAACAACACAGAACACAAACATGGTGCGCACATCGAATCAACGTATAAGCGTCAGGGAACGGGCAAAAGTGAGGCAGGCGCTAAGATACAAACAGTCATACAGTCACATACACACACACACACACACTACGTTTTGAGACGTGGGATCAGATAGATGCAGAGTAACGCCGAAGGCGGGTGTGAAGCAAGCAAGAAGAGATCAGCGAACAACCACAAAGAGTAAGAAAGGAAAGAAATGGAAAGGAAGAGGAAAGGAAAGGAAGGGAGGGTCAACAGCAGCAACAACAGGCCTTCTACATGGAAGCAAGGAAGCAAGACAAGGAGAAAAGTGGCACGTGGGAGCAAGCGCAGGGGAACAGCAGAACGGCCATGAAGAAGGACAAAGCACGAGCTGGGGTGGCACTCTGCTGATACATAGTGGTTGGTGATATCAAAGGGGTTCCGAGTGAAGAGAGAAGTACCAGGGGAGAGACACAGGGAGAGGGGAAGTTGCTTGGCATGGTGGTGCGAGAGTGTGTGTTTGTGCGTGAAAGGGGGCATGCTTGTCTGAAGGACAATCACCATCGCACTGCAAGCGTGAACATCGACACGAGACGCCTGCGTACACGTGTGACCGCGCAGCTGCGAACATGGTGGTGTGCTGTGTTGAGGAGTGGGTGATGGAAAGGGAGCAGAGGGAACAGAGGGAAAGGAAGAGGTAGTGTGAAAAACACGGAATAGAGAGGAAAGACACGGCAGAGAAGAGAAGAGAGAAAAGAGAGAGAGAAGAGGGAGGGGGCATGAGAAAGCACTGTATGTTTTTGACTACATCGCTGGATGGACAGGCAAAGTTGCCGTCGAGCAAACGTCTCTTGTTGTTGTTGTTGTTGTTGTTGTTGTTGTTGTTGTTGTTGTTGTTGTTGTGGAACATCGCGCACGTGTCCACGCGGATGACTTCCACAGCACAGGGGTTAGTAAGGATTGTGCTGGTTGGTGGTTGGTGGTTGGTTGTTGTCTTGATCGCTTCAGTATGGGGGTCTGCCTCCGTGCATCATCACATCAGCGACGCTGAGGCTGCAAGCGCACCCGCATGTGAGTAGGCGGTACTGCAACAAGAAAGAGGAAGAAGAGGAAGGATGGATGGATGGATGGAAAAGGATGGAAAAGAGAAGTTGCACAACACGCGTCAGAACATAGATAAGCTAATGAGTGGTCTGCTGGCATGCACCTTCTTCCTTCATCTCCCTACCACACTCACGTGGCACTTGAAAAGGCAAACACACACACACACACATACACACGCACATAGACACACGCACGCACACAGACACAGACACAGACACACGCACGCACACACATCTGCCCTACTCCGAAAAACACAAGCCCCTACCCTCCAAATGACTCACGGGATGCTGGTTGGCACGCCTTGCATATGCTGCTGCTGCTGCGGTTGCTGTTGCTGCTGGTGATGGTGAGGGGGCGGTGGCGGTGCTGCCATGCCCATAGGACCCTGGCCTTGCATGGCCATGGGAGCCTGGCCTTGCATAGCCTGCAACCCTTGCACCTGCATGCCCTGAATCTGGCCTTGCATCTGCATGGGCAGCTGCATCTGGTGTGGTGGCATGGCCATTGGATGCCCGTATGGCCCCATGTACATGTGTGGCGGTGGGGGCGGCGCCATGGCGTGGTGTGCAGCGTGCGAGTTGGGGTGTCCGTGGCGCGAATTCCGCCGGTTGCTTTTGAACGACACCTGTTTGTGTGTGCGTGCGTGAGTGAGTGAGTGCGTGCGTGAGTGCGTGAGTGCGTGAGTGAGTGAGTGCGTGCGTGAGTGCGTGAGTGCGTGAGTGAGTGAGTGAGTGAGTGAGTGAGTGAGTGAGTGAGTGAGGCAGGTTAAGAGACAGGCACGCGCAGAACAACCACGCAACAGAACCATGATACCACATACACATTCGCACACACTGACACCCCTCGCCCTCCCCCTCCCAAAACACACACACACACCCTCCCCCCCCCCAAACGCACACACACACACACACTCACGCTGAGCCGGTAGCCGAAGACGTCGTAATCGTTGAGGTTTTGGATGGCGGTGGCGGCCTCACCAAAGTCACGCATCGTCACAAAGCCATAACGCTGTCACAGCCGAGGCGGTGGTGGTGTGGTGATCACGGGGTGAGAAGGGGAAAGGCGACCAAGAGCTGAAAACAGCACGGGGCTCCACAACATGCGAGGAAGTAGGGTCACGACAGAGCTAAGCGCACCCCCCCCCCCCTTCTCAATGCACTCAAGACCGCGACGTACCCTGGCCTGGCTGAGCGACTTGCGGGAGATGGAGGCGGACACGACGCCACCAAAGTTGGCAAAGAGCCGAGCAAAGCCGTCCTCGTCCATAAAAGGCGGGAGGTTGAACACAAACAGGCAGTAGCCTGGACACGGAAGATGCGTGCATGCAAGCAAAACCAAAACAAAAGCAAAAGCAAAAGTTAGCCACGTGCAAGGCACACCACCAAGGATGCAGGGATCATTGCATCATCCCCACACATTCATCCCTCCCCCCCCCACACACACACTCACATACTGACAGCCTTTCTCACCGTATGGGGTGCGGGCGGAGGGCGGGAGCATGTCGGGCGACATGGGCACGAATCCCGGCTGGAGCGGAGCCATCGTCGGCTGCGGCTGCGGCTGCTGGAACCCGCCACCATAGGGCATGGGCATGGACGGGTATGCCATCACTGTTGAAAAACAAAGGAACGGTGAAGACAACACGTGGCGTAGGCAGGAGCGACGTGAGCATTCCTTATTAATTTGGCAACAGTCGCCTCCACAAGGTCACAAGGAAAGCACCGCGAAATTATGAAACCATTGGCTTGGGTTGCTTGGTTTGCTTGCAGGCATTTTATGTGAACGTTGGTGTGTGATACGTACTGCTTCCTTGATGCATGCCTGCAGAGGAGCCTGATGGGGCGCGGCTGCGCCTGGTGACGTGAGGGACAACGCAGGGTTCGTGCGGCGAGCTGAACGGGTGAGCTGAACGATGACCCGAGCACCCCACCCCCATGAACAGGCACACCGCCACCGCCCCCATGCACAGCTACAAGACGAACGGTGCAATCACGTGCTCGCTCGCACCACTACACGAATACACCTGCAGAAATACACACCTGTTGGTATCTGCAAACTTGACGGCAATTGGCTGGGAGCAGTTGGCAGGGACGGTGTTGTTCAGCTCCGCAACTGCCCGCTCAGCACAAGCGCGCTGCATTGTGGTGATGGCGATGGGGTGTGTAAGTTTAGTTGTCTGTGTGTGAGCGTGGCTAGCACAGGTGGGAAAAGCAGCAAAGCAGTAGCAGGAGCAACAGCAGGAGCAACAGCAGCAGCAGCAACAGCAGCAGCAGCAGCAGCAATCACACAGCACCTTCACCCCAACACAAACGCCTCTCGTCCTCTTTCGTCGCTTCTCAACGAATCAGTCACCTTGTCAAAGCGGACGAATGCAATGCCTTTTGGAACGTCCCCATCGTAGAGCAGGCGAGCAGAGATGATCTCGCCAAACGGGTTGAAGATGGCGCGGAGCTGGTCCTCCGTGATGGTCCGTGGAAGGTTCTGTAAGGGTCATAGCCACATGAAAGTACGGAGAGTTGTGAGCAAAACGCCACTTTCCAGCCACGCCCACACCCAACACGCTGTTGCCTGCAGGCACGACCTTGATGTAGAGGTTGGCGCCCGTGATGGAGCTGCTGGAGGGGCGAGCAATCGAAACTTTCAGGCGCTTGTTCATGTACCTGTGGCAGACGAATACGGGAAACGGGGTGAGTAGGTTGGGGAGGCGGGGGCAAGACCAAACAGGTTCCAAAGCAAGGGAGGGAAGGAAGGAAGGAAGGAAGGAAGGAAGGAAGGAAGGAAGGAAGGATGGATGGAAGGAAGCAAGCAAGGAAGGAAGGATGGAAGGAAGGAAGGAAGCAAGGAAGGAAGGATGGAGGGAAGGAAGGAAGGATGGATGGAAGCAGCAAACAGAACAAGCAGCAAACAGAACAAGCAGGGCGAGCAACCAATGACATCGCACACACAACAGCAGACACCTGCACCTCCCACGCTCTTTTTTACTTAGCCCCCCTTCCGCCATACTCAACGACTCACTGGCGGCCGTTCATGGCCTGGATGGCGCGGGCAGCCTCCTCGGCGGTCTCAAACTCAACAAAGCCATAGCCAAGGCTCTTGTGCGTGTATCGGTCCGTCATGATCTTGATCCTGGAGGCGAACAAAGGGGACAAGCAGCGTGTGGAGGTGAAACAGCAGCCAACTTGGACACCCCATTGTTGTGCGCGTTCCGCACGTCCACAGCTCGAAGCTAAAGCATCGCAGGTCTTCAACGCCTCTGCATGCAAGCAAAGACTCACGCTTTGATGGTTCCAAAGGGCTTGAAGAGTTCGCGAAGGTCGCTCTCCGTCACAGCTGGCCAATCAATCGAAAGCACCATGACCATGGAGAGGGGAGGGAGTGCAGGCACAGGCAAGGACGTGAGTGAAGACAAGGGGGTGGTGAGTGTAGGCAAGCCGTTAACACGGTGAGAGGTACCACCAAGTAAACACATGCACACACACGCACACACACACACACACACACACACACACACACACACCAACAATCAGTCCAGCAAGCCAAAGCAACACACAAAGCAGCAACACGCTCGACTGGGACCCCTTTGACCTGCCCTTCCTCCACACTTCCTCCACCTCCCTTCCCCTGCAAAGGTATTCGCCGTACATGGTGGCAGGTAGTTGATGATGAGGTTGTTGCGGGGCTCTGGCGTGTCTGCGCTGCTGTCCAGGGTGCCAGACGACTGCGAAGACTGCATGGACTGGTGGTCATCTGCAGGCGACACGCGCTGCATTTTCGGGTTTGTTGGCTGGGGAGCATGTGTTGCCGGCTGGGGAACAGCGGGTGTTGGCGTCACGGCGTTTGTTGTGGTGGCTGGGGTGGCCGTTGGTGGTGCTGCTGTTGTTGTTGTGGCGGGCACAGCCTTTGTTGCCGGATCACCTGCAACCGCACAGGCGGAGAACAGCATGTATGGACAGACAATACACAACAGTCAGTCAGTCGGCAGCGTGGGCTTGCTTCAATCTCACTCACTCACTGGTGTCAAAGTAAGGAATGCCACGACAAGTGATACATACGCCCCACTGGCTTGTTCCCCCCCCGTACTTGTTTCCTTGTGGCTGGCCCTTCTCTCTTCCCAAACGATGCACTCCTCCTCCGCCCCTCCCCTTACTCCCCACACATTCTGCTCAGCTCACCTTCCATATTGGTTGGTGTGGGTTGTACTTTTGGCGTGTGTGTTGTGTTGCGTGCTGCTTGCTTGTGTTGGATCGAGCTGCTGCGAATCGAATCTGGAGGAAGGTTACTATGGTGTGGTGGGCAATCTGCAACCAGGAGCAAGATGGAGATGAGAGATGGTCGATTTGGTGCGGTGTGCGGTGTGGGGGAAGGGGATATGGATGTGGCAACCACACACGTTGACGACAAAGGACATCCATTCACACACGCACGCGCACGCTCCCATAAGCTGCTTGGGTAATCAGTGAGGCAGGGTGACGAAGGCACCACCACACACGCGCTCGAGATTGGAGCTGGCAGTGGCACGCAAGTGCAAGCGCAAGCAGTGTGTGTGTGTGTGTGTGTGTGTGTGTGTGTGTGTGTGTGTGTGTGTGTGTGTGTGTGTGCCTGGCTGTAGACGGCACGGCGGGCGGAGCACTGGGAGCAAGCGATCTGTGGCGAGTGGCTCGACCGCGTGCACCGTGTACTCCGCAAAGGCAGAGCCACAACAGCCAGACGAGAAGAAGAGGAACCGCTTTGGCGACTTACATTGCGTGCTGGAGCTGGCTCGTGAGCGTAAACTGGCTCCCACGCAGTCGCTGGGGAGACGACGCAACAGGCACGCAAACACGAAAAGAAGGACAGTCACGTCAACGCGTGTCACAACTTCACTCACGGTCGAAGAACAAGACACGCAAGACGGTGTGAGGGAGAGAGAGGGAGGGAGGGAGGGAGTGGTGGCCAACAAAATAGACACACCACAAGCACAAAACAGCAAGGAAGCAAGCGAAAAGCCAAAACAAGGCGATCGAGGCCTTCTGCCTCTTCTTCGGGCGCGCGCACACAAGGCGAAAAGCAAAGCAAAACACCAAAACAAAACTGCAAAACAACCACACGAAGCAACAAGGGCAAACACAAAGTGACCACCCCCCTTGTTGCCCTCCCCCTCGTCAGTAGCACAACAAACAAAACACAACAAAACCAACGAAAAAAAAAAAAGCAAGGGCAAGAAGCAAAAAGCACAGCAAAACAGCAACGAAATCGTTGTTTTGCGCTTGCGCAGAAGCAATCAAGGCGGTGTGCGACTTTGCTGACTGTTTTGTGGGCGATTGTGCGAGGCCTGTTTTGCGGGTTGTCGTCGTTGTGCAAGAAGCGCAAGCAAGCAAGCAAGGGGGGAAAAACAAACAAACAGATTATTTAAATTGTGGTAATGTTTATGTATGATTCCAGTTAACTTTCGCCACACAGACCAGCAGTGGTTGGGGGGTCGCGTTTTGGTTCGCGGAGAAAATTGTGTGTGTTGTGTTTGGCCGTTGGTTGTGTGCAAGATGGTGTGGTGTGCTGGTGTGCTTGTGAAGGCAGGAGAGAGGGGAGAGGCAGCGCGAGCGAGGGACGAGAGGGAAGTGAGCGAGGGAAGTGTGTGTGTGCGTGCGTGCGTGCGTGCGTGTGTGTGCGTGCGCGCGTATGGCAATGACCATGAAAAATAACAACACTGAACAAGACGAGCGAGCGATGGAGCGATACAAGCAACGTGGAGCATGATACAACTGTAACGGATGCACAGGAGGATAGGAACAGGTAAGGCAAGGCAAGGCAAGGTGTGTGTGTGTGTGTTCGTGTGGAAATGGGTGGTTGGTTGGTTGGTTGGTTGGGTGGTTGGTTGGGTGGCATGGCGTGGCGTGGTGTTCATTTAACTTTGCCCCCTGTGTGTGCGCGTGTTTGTGTGTGTGTGTGTGTGTGAGTGTGTGAGTGAGTGAGCACAACGAGCGCATGTTGGAGCCAGCAGCAGAGAACGTAGCAGTCGTACATACACAGACAAACACATACAGACAGACATGCACACAAACACACACACACACACACACACACACACACACACAGACACACAGACACACAGACACACACACCGCAGCCATCTCACCGGGGAAGGACATGTTGGGTGGCCAGTGCCTCCGCTTCCTGTGCCCAGGCGACAACTTCTTCGAGCTCGTCCGAGTCAACTTCCTCCGGAATGACGCAGTTGTTGACCACATTCTCGCCTGAAAACACACAACAAGAGCGCATTACAAGTGCCCAGCAGGGTGCACGTGCAAAGTGAATCCACAAGCAAGCGAACGCCAACGCGAGCACACAAGCAAATGCACACAACACAAACAACACACAACATACACAAACACACACACACACGCACATCCACATCCACATCCACTCACCCACTCACCGTCGGGAATTGTTCCATAAGGGTCGATGAGCTTGAACTCGGTTTCTTCGTGGAACGTTTTGGCCAACTTGTCGTTGGCGTTGAAGCGGGCGATAATGCCGCTCACGCTCTCGTGCTGAACCATCCGGAATTCGTCAAGCACGAACATGGTGCTGTCATCCTAAAGGTCACGAAAACAGGGCACACAACCGGCGCATGTCATGTCAGTCGACAGCAAACACGAACAAACAAACAAGCTTGCACAACCGAACACAAGCATGTACAAACACAAACAACCGAGCAACCAACACAAGCATGCACCAAGCAACCAACACAAGCATGCACCAAGCAACCAACACAAAACAGTACCTGCAACTTGATGCGCCTGACGCTGAAGCTTCCGAATTGCCCGTCATCGTCTACAACACAGAGAAGAAGCTGAGAAAAGTTCGGGTTCTGCCGTTGTTCGTTCGTTGGAAACCGTTCAAGAGAGAACACAAATGATCCAGGAGCCTTGCCAGCAAGCAGTGCCTCCACGTCACAAGCCGCATCCACAAGCCACTCTTTGTTCTGGCCTGGCGAGCCATCACTCGTCTCGGTCTTGGGCGGTTCTGACAGTGTTGTGTATCCTCGCACGGCGTCATGCTCGCGGTCTCGCTTGGCGTCCCCATCACCACCATCATCATCACCGTCGTCATCACCACCATCATTACTGTCATTTGGGGGATTGGTGGGCTTCTTGGCAACTGGAAAGTCCGATAGTGTTGGATCATAATAACCTGGACCAGACATGCCGCGTGGCATTCTCGCAGCAAGGCCCATGCCGTTAGGAGGGCGGCACGAGTTGGGGTTTGTGTATCCGTCTGTACGTTTCGGCCTTTCAAGCGGCTTTGGCTTCTCGTTACCGTCCTCATCCTTGATCGTCTGGTTGAAAAGCTGCCGCCTCTTCTCCAGTTCCTGAGCCTCCTTCCCCCTCCTTCGGTCATCCGACCGCTGTCGTTGCTGAATTACTGTTTGCTTTCCCACATCATCATCCTCCACATCAGAGCTGTCGCAACTGTCACTCATGCTGGCAACTGGCTTGGGGGGAGGGGAGGGAGCAAGGGTGTGTGCGTGCGTGTGGAGTCGATATGGGGCGGTGGTGGCGCGGGCCGCGCAGGAGGTCGGTGTCGGCTGCTCCAGAGCGACACAACAGCATAAATTGCATTGAACCGAACCACGCCGCCAACCACCAACAACCACCAACGACGATGAGCGCTCGCAAACAGCAGCAGCAGGCAAAGCAGTCGCAGGCACAGCAGCAGGGCGCTGTGGTTGCGAGTGGAGGCAACACAGGGAATGCAGTGAGCGCAGCGGGAGGCGAGACAAGCTCGGCGCTTGTGCAAACTGGGCGTCCGGAGGTTGTGTAAGTTCCCCCTTTGTTTGTGTGTGAATGGGGGACGACGGTGGTGGGCGGTGAGTTGTTGGTGGTGGGCGGTGAGTTGTTGGTGGTGGGCGGTGAGTTGTTGGTGGTGGGCGGTGAGTTGTTGGTGGTGGGCGGTGGGTTGTCGTGGCGAGAGGCACGAACAGTTGTGCTCGGCTTCCTCTCACTCTTGCATTCACACGCACGCACGTATACGCAACTGCAGGAACATTGTGGCAACCGTCAATTTGGCAACACACTTGGATCTCAAGCACATCACACTCAGCGTGAGAAACGCAGAATATTCCCCAAAGGTAACATGTGATCGTGTGATCATGTGTACGTATTGTGTGTGTGTGTGTACGTGTTGTGTTTGTGTGCGTGTGTGCGTGTGTGAGTGCGCGCATGTGTGAGTGAGCGTGTGGGTATTGTGAGTGAGTGCATTGTGAGTGGGGTTTCGTATGCATTGTGGCATCAGTAACACTGACAGCGGAATCCTGTCATGCGCCACACACGTTGCCGCCTGCAGCGCTTCTCTGCTGTGGTCATGAGGATTCGATCACCAAGAACCACAGCACTCGTGTTTGCCACGGGCAAGCTCATTTGCACCGGCGCCAAGAGGTGTGCGTGTGTGTACATGTGTGTGCGCTGTTGTGAATACATGCAGGTGTGCATGAACGCGGCAGTTTGCGTGTGCATTTGTATTGTGCAAGTTTGTTTGTGGAGTTGTGCCATCTCACCAGGTTCAATTTGCACACATCCTCGCCTTCCTCTGTGTGCGTACATTTGTGATGCTTCTTAGCACTGAGGATGCATATGTCGGTGCGCGCAAGTTTGCCAAGATCATCAAGAAGATTGGCTTTTCGGTGCGTTCCTTGCACATGCACCTGCAGCTCTCACCTTCTCGTGTGCGTGTGTGTGTGTGTGCGTGTGTGTGCGTGTGTGTGTGTGTGCGTGTGTGTGCGTGTGTGTGTGTGTGTGTGTGTGTGTGTGTGTGTGTGTGTGTGTGTGTGTGTGTGTGTGTGTGT